ACCAACCAGAGGATAGACCAACCAGAGGATAGACCAACCATATGATGGACCAACCAGACTTAGTCGTTTTAAGCATAACGGCATCTTCAGATCTTCCATCCTTAGCCCCTATTGCTTAATAAACCTTTTTAGAATAATTAGGATTAATTTGATCCCAATAATCTCCCCCCAAAGTTTTATGAAACAAGCATCCTCATGAAGTCGTCAGGTCTTCTCCTCTCTGCTTTCTTGAGTAAAGCTTTAGTGTGCTTGGTATGGATGGAATTTTCAAGCTCCCCCTTTGAATGTAGCTCTCTGTTATTCATTTTCAACTCTTAGACCAAATCAGATTCAACGTGAATGCAGCACCACTGATTGCACAAAATGCAACTTTAATCTGCCTACAACCCAGCACATACTTTGGAGCACAAAATAGCCACTCAACCCCAAAACTAGCAAATTCATCCAACTAAGGGATAGATAAATATGTGAATTTCTTGACAAAACAATGCAACCAGTCTTATGACAAATAATCTTTCGTTGAACCGCAAGTTGAGTAGGAATTCAGCTTTAGAGCTTGATCCAATTGGAGATAACTTGAATAACCAATTGGAATTGAGAACTGGAGAGAAGAATTATCATTAAGCTTTATGGCTTCAAGAAACAGCAGGTCAATTCAAAGAAAATTGACAGTATTGCTGTTGATGCTTCTAAGGGTAAAACATAAAGGAATATCGCCATATTCATATAGGATTGGTGATTACAGGTAAATAAATCGTTAAGCTCTTACAGATTCTGATTTACAAGAAGAAATGATTAACAAATACTCAAGATATGGGTGATAAGTATAGGTTTGACAAAGAAAACGCCCATTGCTTTAGGCTGTGAGCACTATGAACTCTTGCTTAACGCCTACGCGAAGATCTGACAAAATCAAGGTTCAAAAGTTCGACGGACTCCAAGAAACTCCATCAAATAAACCAAGTTTTTATGATCAAAATAGGTTCGTATTCATCCAAGAACAAATCCCTTAAAAGGAATTTGATTAAAACATTTAATCACATGATGAATCGATGAATTTTGGGTCCAAATTGCAGTCGAACAGGAAGCAGTTCATGAAAGAGTAATGTTCAAGAAAATTGAATCTACTGCAGAAAGATCAAATCGTTAGAAGTTAATCGATTTTGCTATGATACCAATTGTTAAACCCATATATGACAGTAGAACAGTTTAATAGAATTTAAAAAGAGAATTGTAGAAGAAGATGAATAGAAATTGACTGTCGTTTTCTTTATTGAATGGAAAATATAATCTCTCAAAAACCCTAATTGACTCTTATGTGATGTGTTTGAATTTGTGTGTTACAAAGTGTTGACAATTCATCTCACTTCTATTCTATGCCTGTAACACTTCTTATATAGGCGATATTTACATGATAACTGAATCCTATAAATAAGGTAACTAAATCCTATAAACAAGGAAATAATCATTATCAAAAATGGGATCAACATCATCCTTCAAGATTCTGAAGATAGTCGTCCAGAGTATAGACCAACCAGAGGATAGACCAACCAGAGGATTGGCCAACCAGAGGATTGGCCAACCAGAGGATTGGCCAACCAGAAGATAGACCAACCAGAGGATAGGCCAACCAGAGGATAGGCCAACCAGAGGATAGGCCAACCAGAGGATAGGCCAACCAGAGGATAGACCAACCAGAGGATAGACCAGCCAGAGGATGGACCAACCAGACTTAGTCGTTTTAAGCACAACAGCATCTTCAGATCTTCCATCCTTAGCCCCGATTGCTTAATAAAACTTTTTAGAATAATTAGGATCAATTTGATCCTAACATCACAAACATACCTACTTTAACTGATAAAGGTGCCTTTATTTGATTGCTTGATTTGTAGACATAAAAAGAAGGTTAGTTCTCCCATTATGCTCATCTGGTATTCTTTTTTCATGCGATCAGCGAATCGAAAATATAAAGAGGAATTAGTGGAACCAAAAATAATATCATCGACATAAATTTGTACTAGAATTATATGACCTTTAACTTTCCTAAGAAATAAGGTCTGGTCAATCTTTCCACGAACAAATTTCTCAGAGATGAGAAACGAGAAGAGGGTATCATACCAGGCACAGGGAGCCTGTTTCAACCCATAAAGAGCTTTATCCAAACGATA